CATTTCTTCCAGAGTAGATCCAACACCAGATGTTCTGCCTGGGGTAGCTCAGCTTCAGACATCATGGAGTCCTCTCTCTTACCTGCTGCAGTGATTCTGTGACCAACCATTTTAGTCACAGCAACAAAATGAAGTAAGGCATGAGTCATTCTGAGAGTCCCAAATTTGAATGTGCCAGAGCATAGGAACCAGTGTCCCTGAACAGTGGATCAGAATTGTTGCCTATTCTGGGTGAGTTGTAGATAGAAGTTCTGGCCTCTCTAGTATAGTCTGAGGCAGGCCCACAAAACCAGGGGAGAAATGCATTCCCCTCAGAGGAAAGCACTTGCAGAATGGCTCTCACTCATTTTCACTGTGGTGATGTCCCAGAGACAAATGTGCCAGCTCTAAAGAGCTATGTGTTAGACTTTCAAGAATTCTGACACTGGGCCATCAAACATAGTCATTAGTAACAGTTAATTTGACTTGCAATCAAATAAATTATACTTAATAAACAAACATAGTAAATAGTCAAAAAAGCATCACTTCCTAATTTGGTTACTACATTTTACTGTTATCTATGCTTTTGGTTTGTATGCACAACGTGTGTATGTATGATATGTGTTTAAATGGCTATATGCAGAGAGACCTGTGCATGCCATGGCACATTTGCAGAAGTAAGAGGACAACCTCAGGAGTTGACCCTCATCTTCCATCTTGTTTGAAGCAGGGTCTCTTTGGGCTGTCTGCAGATGTGTAGCATACCAAGAATTCACCTGTCTCTATCTCACAAGGTACTGTAAGAGCTCTGGATTATAGGCACACCCAGCTTCATGTGGTTTCTAGAGACGAAATCCAGATCCTTCCTCACATTTGTGCAGCAAGCACTCTACCCACTGAGCTGTCTCCTGAGCCCTGTGCTCTCTGTTTGTATCTTTATGTGGTGGTAAAAACACTTGGTGGTGACCTGATGTGTACCTCTTTACACATAGCAGTGTTACACTAGTAGCCTGAAGTACATTATGCTGGGAGTGTTTGTACCATAAAAATTCATAATATAAAGAAGGTGCCCTTACATAAAGCCCTTTGTTAAGACTATGCCACCACAACACTGCTTTAATTCATTTGTCTTGATTTTTTTCTTTTTTGCTAATAATGATAGGTTATTTGAAACCCATTAGTCAGGAGGATATCATTGGCAAGGAAACATCCAGAGTTTGGGTTTCCAGGTTTGAATTTGAGCTTCACCACTTACTGTCTGACCTTGGGAAAGGCATTGATCCTTCCTATAAAGCAAGGGTGAAAAAAAGACTACCAGGAGCATAGGATAATTGCAAAGCTTAAAGGAATTATGATTGCATGGAATATGCTGCACCATTTGTTTTACAATTTTTATTATTATTATCATTTTTATTTTAATTTTAAATAACTTGTTTTACATGTCAATCCCAGTTCCCTCTCCCTCCCCTCTTCCCACACTCCCCTTCCCCCCTCCCTCCCACCCTATTGCCAAATCCTTCCACATAGGGGATATCTAGAGTCTGTCATTTTACTCTTGGTAGGGTCAAGGCGCTCCCCTAAGAGTCCAGGCTGAGAGAGCATCTCTCTTTGTGCTATAGGCACATGAAGACAGTTTGTATACCAGGGATAGACACTGATCCACAGCTCAGGGCCCCATAGGTTGCCCAGGCCTTCTCACTGACACTCACATTTGGGGGGTCCAGATCAGTCCCATGCTGGCCTCCCCACTGTCGGTCTGGGGTCCAAGAGCACTCCCCTGTTCAGATCAGCTGTCTCTGCTGGTTTTGCCAGCCCATTCTTTGCCAATTTGCTCATCACTCCTCTCTCTCTGTCACTGGGTTCCTTGGGTTCAGTTCAGTGATTAGTTGTGTGTTTGCCTCTGCTTCCATCAGTCACAGGATGAAGGCTCCCGGATGGTTATAGACATCAAGTTCATTATCAGGAATGGGCATTCGAGGTGGTCCCTCCACTATTGCTTAGCTTGCCAATTGATATTATACCTTTAGATCACTCAAGGTCACTCTGGTGCCTGATCTGTCTTCGATCCTATGATTCCCTCTTCCCCCTATTCTATTGTTTTACAATTTAATGTAGAATCAGATAATATGGTGGAAACATCTTTCTAGTCTTATTTTACTATGAAAGGTTTAAAGTGGGTATGAATGTCTAATTTTATCAAATGACCCCAAACACCTATGTAATTAGAGGATTTAATTTTTCACATATTAATACAGTGAGCCATGTAGTGGCATTCCTTCTAGAAGACACTCAGATCCCAGCAATGAGCCACTGAGCTATGGTGTGATCCCCTTAAATGCAGTACTGAATTCTATTCAGTAACAATTAGTTTGTCCATTTCACCATCAGTGGTACATTCTCTTGGTTATAATTATCTTTCATGTAGTCTTGAAGGTTTTGTTCTTAGTGGCTTGATTGCTTTATGAAGATGTTAAGGATATTTTCACAAATTGCACTAGCTTTGGAAAACAAGAAACTTGATACAATATCAAAAGGACTTAGCCTGTGGAACCAGAAGCTAGGGCTTTTAGGACCTTAGTTTTTGTCACCTTTACCTATTTTCATGATTCTCAGGCTTGACTGCACATTACTTTAAAGAACTTCTAAAATTATTCATGAGGGGGTGATGGATATGTTATTTTGATTTATCCCATAATACAAACATATGTCAAAACATCATGTTGTACTACACACACATATCTAGCTAGCTAGCTATCCATCTGTCTATTATTAGCTATAGCTCTCTCCATCTATCCATCTACCTATCTATGATTATTATTATTATTGTGTATTCAAATTTTAACGTGCTGATGCCTTAATAACTCCCAATACCTAATTTTTAATGGTCTAGTAAACATCCTGGGCATAAAAGTGTTTTTAAATTCTTCAGGTGTTCATAACATGTAGCCAGCATTCAGAACTACTTACAACATTCAGCAATGGGGAATTTCACTCAGGATATTAGTCTAACTCCATCTTTCTTTCAATGAATTTTAGTGATTTATATTAATGTAAAAAATGCCTATTTCCTCTCTGCTTTTAAATTGATCCCAGAATTTTGCAAAAACACTGTTGCATGATTGTTTTGCTGTGTTGGAGTCTGGTATACTTACTGAGGTTTCATAGGAAAAGTAAATTCTCTCTTCTTGATGGGAAACCTATTCACACTTAAAGAGAGTTCTCAGATTCTGCCTATGTCTTCATTTCAAAGTTCCTTTCAATGGTTTGTTATGCAATTCTAGATCCTGTGCTATTCTGTTTGTCTCTAAACATAATCCCACCAATTTAAGACCACTTCAACAGTCCAGAAACACTATGAAATTATCAGTCAAGGAGTTAGTTGAGCAGGGGGAATTAGTGGATGAATAAAACTAGATTCGATACTCTAGTGGCCAACTTGTCACTATTTCTCCAATGCCTAGAATATATAGAACCAAAACTGAACCAGAGTGAACAGGAATGTGAGCTATTAACGTTGGTGCCCATGGTGTGTCAATATTGGCTCAACAATCATCAGATAACCCACTGTGCTGTGAGATGTTGATAGTTGGGGCATGTGCATATATTGATATGGAGGCTAGAGGTAATCACTAATCCCTCTTCAATTCTGCTGTGAATCTTACATTTCTCTCTCTCTCTCTCTCTCTCTCTATATATATATATATATATATATATATATATATATCTGAAGAGGAGTAGGAAAGACTGATGGTTGAATTTCAGGACCAAACTAGTAGACACAAAAATCCTGCAAGCAATCCTTGGTTGATTCTCACACTACTGCAGCCTACCACAGTCCTGACATTTTCTGTGCCTTTAATAGAATTTCATGTAATTACAACTTGCTCTCTTTTTGTTCATTTACCCCTAAACTATACTTATAGAAGTATGTTATCCAAGTAACTTCTTATGCTGGGCAGTCTTTGTCAACCTGACACAAACCTAAACATACCAGTGAAAAAGGAATATCAGTTGAGGAATTGCTTCCATCAGATTTCCCTGTGGGCACACCTGTGGGGCATTCTAGCAAGTCTAATGTATCAGGCGAACGCCTGGAGATATAAATGAAAGACAAGACATCCGGCTGTTTGTGCTAAGAGAATGGGTGTGTGTCTGTGTTTATTGTGAGGGAGCAGTCTTATATACAGACTTACAGCACAGTGGAAAAAACCCAGGTGTAAGAGTTTGTGTTTTCATAATTAAAGGTTGATGCCAGTGGAGCAAGGCTGGGGCTGTAAGCTGGGACTAGAAAACAGGATGCACCTGTGGTTATTGGCTGACAAGCAACTCACACAGACCTGGTCGAGGCTGGAACCCAACACTAACTATTGCTTGATGAAGGAGTGCTAAGACTGTGGACAGTGCCATGTTTGGGGGTGTGTGCTTGGACTGTGTAAAAAAAAAGGCAGCTGAACAAAGCCAAGGAGAGAAAGGCAGTAAGTTGGCAGCATCTTCCAGGGTCTCTGCTGCAGTTCTTGCCTATGGGTTTCTGTCTTGGTTTCCCTTAATGATGGAATATAACCTAGAGCCAAAATAAACCTTTGCCTCCCCAGTCTGTAGGTAGAAGTTTCCCCTCCTGGCAGCCACTTCCCAAATAACCAATGCAAAACTTAGTATTAATTGAAAATGCTCGGCTAATAGTTCAGGCTCATTACTAATTAGCTCTTACAGCTTAACACATTTCTATTAATCTATGTGCTGCCTAGAGGTTCGTGGCTTTTACCTCTATCCCATTTTGTGTGTTCCACATCTGGTTGGTGACTCCTTGGTCTCCACCCTTCCTCTTCCCGCATTCTTAGTTTGGTTGTCCAGGCCAGTCAGCTTTTTATTAGCAATGAAAGTAATACATGTTCACAGTGTACAGTATTCCACAGCACCAGGTTGCTTCTAGTCGATGTTTTTTCTCAGCAACAGAAACTCAAAGTGGGTCACTCCCATACACCGTTCACTCACATCCTTCTTTCCTTCCTTCCATCTTGAAGCAGACTCCAAAGTGTGAACCAACAGAACAGCAGCACAGTGACAGAGTTCGTCCTCGTGGGCTTTGAGCAGAGCTCCCCTTCCACACGGGCATTGCTCTTCACCCTCTTCTTGGCACTCTACAGCCTCACCATGGCCATGAATGGCCTCATCCTCTTCATCACCTGGACTGACCCCAGACTCAACAGCCCCATGTACTTCTTCCTTGGACACCTGTCTTTCCTGGACATCTGCTTCATCACCACCACCATCCCACAGATGTTGATCCATCTGGTGACCAAGAACCACACAGTCTCCTTTGCCTCCTGTATGACCCAGATGTATCTGGTTTTTGGTGTGGGTGTGGCTGAGTGCATCCTCTTGGCTTTCATGGCCTATGATCGTTATGTTGCAATCTGCCACCCACTGAACTATGCCCAGATCATGAGCCATCAGGTGTGTGCCAGGTTGGTGCTGACTTCCTGGATCTTTGGGATGGTCAATGGCATCCTTCTCAATTACATGACATTTAGAGGTCCTTTCTGCAGAGAAAACCACATAGAAAACTTCTTCTGTGAGGCCCCCATAGTGATTGCCCTCTCCTGCGGGGACCCCCAGTTCAGCCTGAAGGTGATCTTTCTTGATGCCATTGTGGTGCTGCTCAGCCCCATGGTGCTCATTGTCACCTCCTATGCCCGCATCCTGGCCTCCATCCTTAGCAGAGCCTCCTCCTCAGGTAGAGGGAAGACATTCTCCACTTGTGCCTCCCACCTGACTGTGGTCGTCTTTTTCTACACCTCAGCCATGTTCTCTTACATGAATCCCCGCAGTACACATGGACCTGACAAAGACAAGCCTTTCTCCCTGCTCTACACTATCATCACCCCCATGTGCAACCCCATCATCTACAGCTTCCGCAACAAGGAAATGACGGGGGCCATGGGGAGGGCCCTTGGGAGAACCAACCTGGCTCAGGCAGAGTCTGTCTAGCCTGAAATCCCCTGGATGGGTTCAACTGACTATAAATAGAAGTTCACCCTTTTCCAGTCTTACTCTCCAGCTCCGACAGGCTCCCCACAAGGACTCTGGTGTCTTCCTCAGCACCAGACTCAGACTTTGAAGTCATTTCTCCTGATGTCTAAGGCTCTGGCCTTGAGTTGACTTCCAGCATAGGCTGAGCCTCCTTGATTTCTTTTGATAATCTACTTTTGTAGATTTGGAGTGACAAATACAATGCCATAGGGTTATGTCACTAACTGAGAGGAGGCAGGCGTCCGTCTCAAGATAAGGCAATTAGCATAAAAACCAAAGTGATTTGGAGAGCTTTTGCTTAGGGAAGAGAATTAGTTTTAAGGTCAAAGTGTGGAGGTAGCGGATTGGAGAAATATTGTGTGAGGTAGGTAGAGTCCTATTCCTGTGTGGTGACCCACACATTCTTTAAGTTCATGGAGGAAAGGGGGGATTAATCAGTGCAGTTTTATTACTTGCCAAATCCAGCAAGAGGGGGCATGAAATTCTAGATTGTTTTAAAGGGAGACTAGAATAGAGTCAAGCCTGAAAGCACCAGCTTGTCCAGCTTGTGACCATAGCCTGGGAGTTCCATCTGTGTCACAAATGGCCCCAGGGTCAGGGAGTCTTTGAGAAACTTAGCACCATTCAACAACAGAGCAGGGTTACTTTAATTCGTTTGCACATTTCTTGTTGTTGTTATGCTCTTGCCCCAGCTTACTAAATAGTGAAATTACATGTGTGAGCTCTATTTGAAGCTTCTATCAGCACCCAGGCCAAGTGTTGTACCATTTATTTATTTATTTATTTATTTATTTATTTATTTATTTTGGTTTTATGAGACAGGGTTTCTCTGTATTGTTTTGGAGGTTGTCAGTTCAGCCCGGCCTCAAACTCACAGAGATCCGCCTGCCTCTGCCTCCCGAATGCTGGGATTAAAGGCGTGCGCCACCACTGCCTGGCGTGTTGTACCATTTAATACCCTTGTTTTCTTCCTAAGCTGGGTCCTGGTAGCTGGACCTTTATTAACCACCTCAATAAGCTTCCTTATACGACTTCTTCCTTGCCTAAGCAGAGTTACTGGCAGGGTGCAGGAGGATGGAGAGACAGTCTGTGGATACATTTAGTTTCCTAGCTCCTTTGATTGCCCAGGTTCTCAACCATGATCCCAGAGTCACAGATATCTCTGCTCCCTTCCCTTTCCTCTTAAGGTGGTGCATGATTGAAGAGGAAATAGGAAACATGACTAATCTATAAGCCCAACTTTAAATATGTAGTTTAAATATTCTTATAAATGTAGAGACATATGTGTAATTGTAATGCTACCAAACAACCAAGGAAAAAAGTCAGGCTTTGAACATTGCTATAGTTAGGATCTTAGATGTCCGTAAAGGCCCATAAGTTGAAGGCTTCGTTGTACTTTCTATCTGGGTTGTTCCCCCGCAGGCTCCTGTTTTGAACACTCGGTCCCCAGCTTGTGCACTGTTTAAATGGCTCTGGCGCTTTGAGGCAGGGAAGTAGGGCGCCAAGCATGTGCTTGTAGAGGCAATACTCATCCCTGGTTTGGATCTTGGGCTCCTCTTCCTGGTCTGTACCAGGTGAGCAGCTGCTGTCCCTCGCTCCCAATACCACAGATGGAGTCGCTCCTGTCACCATAGTCTCTTCCACCTTGAAGAACTAGAATCTCTCTGAAACCATGAGTGAAATAAATAATGCTGGTGGCAGGCATTTGATCACAGGGACTCAAGGGAAACTAAGGCAGGCTTAGTTCCCACAGTGCTGCCACAGAAAGATCTCTTTGTCAGAGATTGGGCCAATGGGAGTGCCTTAAGTTATTGGGGTCTTGCCCTTAAATGGAACGTGAGACCCCGATCTCTTCCCTGCCCTCTTTTGCTTCCTAGCGACAAAATGAGAAGACTTTTCTGCCATACGTTCTGGCAATAGTCTGCTGCCTCACCACGGGCCTAAATAAACAAAGCCAATCAATTAACAGCCAAAACTTTCAACTAACCGAAACGGACTTTTTCTCTGTAAATACGAATTATCATGGATATTTTTGTTATAGTTATGGGAAACTCACACAAGTATAGTAGAAAGGGACCAAGTCAACTTTGGAAATGATGTTTACCTAACACTGAGACCAAACTTGACAAAACCAAAATAATCTCTTTGTGAAGTTGCAAGGTTCCTAGGGGAAAAACTTAATGAATTCTATTCTATACTGTATTAACAGATGTTTTATGACTTCCTAGGGAAATGTGGACAAACATCTGTTCATCTCAGAGAGGACAGAACAGACCAAAGAAATTATTCTGTCCAAATCTAGGGTAGTGAACCAATGAATTTATTGGGGTTACTGACAGGAACATGTGTGACTCAAAGGCAGCATGTCATCAAAAAGCTCACCACAGAATAGGTGACAACTCACAAAAGCTGCTGTCTCCCATGAACTCTTAGCCCAGCTCTCAAGTGGAGAGTCTTCTACCCTTTACCACATGATTATTCAACCTTGGGGAGGGGCCATGTGAATCTGCTAGATTCCATGAGCTTCCTGAGCCTTGTGAGTTTCCCAGGCTTTTCAGTCTTATAAGCTACCCCACTCCCCATGCCTTTAGGAGAGAAGTTCAAAAGAAATAGATACAAAAGATGAGACTTACATTATGGCCTAAATGCAGCTTATCCTATAGCTTCAACATTCCAATGAACATTAGAAAAATAGTTACTATAAATCACCACATTTCCAGAAAAAATATTGAAAAACACACAATCAACTGTGCCGTAGCTTCAGGAAAACCATTTATTTGGCTGAAAATGCATACTTATAATTTTTAAGGAAGGCACTTTGAGCAGACCAGGGATGGAGGAACATGTCATTAAAGTATTAAAGAGATTCTTGAACCAGGTATGGTGATGCACACCTTTAATCCCAGCAATCAGTAGGCAGAGGCAGAAAGATCTCTGTGAGTGCAAGGCCAGCCTGGCCTACAAAGCAAGTTCCAGCACAGCTAGGGTTGCACAGAGAAACTCTGTTTTGAAAGATCAACCCCCCCCAAAAGAATATTAAAGAGGTATCTACAGAAAACCAGCTGGCAAACACAATCTCTAATAGTAATCATCAAAATCATTACCTTGAAGACCAAATAAGCTCAACTCTAGGAGCATCACAGGAAGGGCGAGGAAAGAACTTCATCATCAAAGGATGAGGCGTGTGGTAGTATTTTGTTTATGATATAACAACTAAAGCTGGCCTGAAGATCAGAGTGCAAAGCCAGCCACACTAGCTAGCCACAGAGGCCAGGCAGTGGTGGCACACACCTTTAATCTCACCACTCAGAAGACACAGGCAGACAGATCTCTGTTAGCTCAGGCCACCCTGAGCTTCATGAAATTGATCCAGTCTAAGAGAAACAGAGCTCACACAAAGGTGAACTCAGCACTTGGGATCCCTTTAATCCCAGCACTAGAGAGGAATGTAAGGTGGGAAGAGACAGGAGTACATTGCAGTCTATGGTTTGGTGGAGAGCGGTGAAGTCTGGAGATTCAGTCTGAGGACAGAATCACTCCTTCAGCCTGAGCATTAGTAGAGCTGAAAACTCTCTAGTGGCTGGCCAGTTTGCTTATCTGATCTTCAGCTTTAGCCCCAATATCTGTCTCTGAGATTTTTATTATTCATGCTACAGAGGAGGGCTAAGAAATGCTGTCATGTGGATATGACTTGACTGTTGAAGTCATGAACTGACACCAACTCTGTTTACCTACCCAAGACTGAACCTGTAAACATTCCAGTATGGGCGAAGGAGGGTCTACTAGCCAAGGGACAGTTAGTAGGTGCTGATAGAAGGAAGTTATTTTTTCTAGTGCAAAAAACAGCCATTGACAGTAGGTTTTTATTAGAGCCTTTAGTGTGTTGAGATATGCTCCCTCCACATCTTTCCTTTTCACGACTTTTGCTATGAAAGGATATTAGATTTTGTCAAAGGCCTTTTCTGTGCCTACTACAAAAATGATCTTGTGATTTCTGTCTTTGAGTCCATTTCTGTGAGTGGCATTTGTTGATTTGTTTGTATTGACTTATCCCTGATAAAATGGCTTGCAAGTATTTTCTTTTTTTTACAATCTTACTTTACATATCAATCCCCCAGTTCCCTCTCCCTCCCATCCTTCCATGGCCCCCACTGCCCCCCAAACAGCCCCCCCACTCCCCAAGGATAGTGAGACCTTCCATGGGGGATCATCAAAGTCTGTCACATCATTTGAGGGAGGGCCTAGGCCCTCCTCCATACATCTGGGCTGAAATAGTATCTCTCCATAGGGAATGGGCTCCCAAAGTCCATTTGTGCACTAAGGATCATTGAGAATTTTTGCATCTATATTCATTAGGAAGATTGATCTTAATTTTCTTTGTTGTTGTTGTTGTTGTTGTGAGTTTATCTACTTTGATATCAGCACAATACTGGTTTCATAAAGAGTTGGGAATGGGAAAGATGGTTCAGAGGTTGAGCATGTACTATTGTTGCAGAGAGCCCTACTTGAATTCCCAGCACCCACATCAGGTGGCTCACAACTGCCTGCAACTCCAGCTCCAGGTGGATCTGACTCTTTGGGTCTCTTCAGACACCTGAACTCACTTGTACATACCTAAACACACACACACACACACACACAAAGTTCGGAAGCATTTTTTCCTTTTCTGTATTATGTAATAACTTGAGACATAGTGTTATTACTTCTTTGAAGGCCTTGTGAATTATGCAAGAAATATATATAGAAATGGACCCTTTTAGTTCAGAGATTTTTTTAAATTACTACTTCAATCTCAGTGCTTGTTATAAATCTGTTTAAGAGTCTAAAATGGCTGACATACACTTAAGAAAGTACTCAACATCCTTAGCCATCAGGGAAATGCAAATCAAAACAACTTTGAGATACCATCTCACTCCTATCAGAATGGCTAAAATCAAAAACAACAATGACAGTTTATG